CAGAGTTTCAAATATAATTAGAAGACCATATGTCTCACAGTTGAGGAGACCTAACAGTTGTAGTGTTTTTGTTTTTTTTAAGAGTAGCAAAGCACTTCGTGAGGTCATTAAAAAACATATGTTCTCTGAAATTACTTAAAAAGTCGTTATTATTTGTCTCAGCTAAATCTACCACAATCCATTCGAGCCAGCAGTACATCAGTTCAATGACAATAAGGTATAAATTCATAAACAAATTTCGTGTTATACATTACCTCGTATGACAATTATTGCAGAATGTGCAGCAGGCAAGACATCAGTTCAATGACAATAAGGTATAAATTCATAAACAAATTTCGTGTTATACATTACCTCGTATGACAATTACTGCAGAATGTGCAGCAGGCAAGACATCAGTTCAATGACAATAAGGTATAAATTCATAAACAAATTTCGTGTTATACATTACCTCGTATGACAATTACTGCAGTTTGTGCACATAGAGTATTGTTATATAAAAATGTCATATTTAACACGCAAATCCCTAATATGTGGTTCATAAAGAGCAAAAATATCATATTTAACACGCAAATCCCTGATATGTGGTTCATAAAGAGCAAAAATATCATATTTAACACGCAAATCCCTGATATGTGGTTCATAAAGAGCACAAATATCATATTTAACACGCAAATACCTGATATGTGGTTCATAAAGAGCAAAATATCATATTTAACACGCAAATCCCTGATATGTGGTTCATAAAAAGCAAAAATGTCATATTTAACACGCAAATCCCTTACACTGGAGATTAAGTAACGGTTGTTTGAGCATTAGAATACATTACGTGTGATACGCTACTTTCACTCAGGGTTAATAACCACGGAATCCTGTGGTCATATTTCATCTGTTTAATAAAAACCTAAGTTTTCATTACCAAGATAAATCCCTGCCTATTCCAAGAGTAACATTTGTTTGATGCAAGCTCATCAAGGCTACAATTTTGCTGTCCAGAGTGATTGATGTAACTAAATTACAATACAATACAAACAATTTGTTTGCTAGACGTATTTCATGGAACTGGGATTTGTTACAGATGGATATTATGGAATATAAACTGATGTCTTGCCTGACCTATCTGCTGCACATTCTGCAGTATTTGTTATACGAGGTAATGTATAACACGAAATATGTTTATGAATTTTATACCTTATTGTCACTGAACTGATGTCTTGCCTGCTGCACATTCTACATATTTCCATACAATGGAAAAACCAAAACCCTACTACAATATTTCTATACAATGGAAAAACCAAAACCCTACTACAATATTTCTATACAATGGAAAAACCAAAACCCTACTACAATATTTCTATACAATGGAAAACCAAAACCCTACCACAATATTTCATCAGTATAAATCCTTACCTCTGTTTGTCAGCATCCACTACACAGTGAGCAGCAGTAAGTACGTACTTCTGGTTGATTAACGCTCCACCACATCCAATTGTTTCAGAGGAATAAGGCTTTATAAAAATTGCAATCTGAAATCGTTTCAGAACTATTATTATTTAATTTAATGTATGAACCATCTTTAAAAAAATGGTGTTTTTACTGGTACGACTAAAAACAGCACAAAGTAAATATACTGTTACCAGTATACTGTACCCGTTTCAGAAATGTTATTTTTATGTACACAGGTCCTCTGTCGTATTATTCACATAACAAAATAACTGTTTGAGATTATTTAAAATGAGATATAAACCAGTTACGTACAATGACGTGACTGGAGAGTTTTTCTGTTTTCTTTACTATTTACTTAAACAAATCAAAAGAGACACATTACAGTGAAAGAGACAACGATTAAACTACGTCGCTGAGCCAGCTGTAAGAAGCTATTATATTGTCCAACTTGAGCGAAATGTTTTAAATTTTATTCTGTATATTTTACTTTTGTCTACACAGTAATTTTTATTGCATTATAACACCTTAAGTAATTCCACTGACATGCGCTTGTGTGTATATAACTTTCTACTTAATATGATATCGCGTAAATAAATCGTTTACGCAGGTTATATTGGAGATTGAGTTTTGTATTATGTTATAATCAGTACACTAACAATCACAATATCTGCTAATCTATTAATCCGCTTATTTACTTAATTCCATGTTTTCAGAACTGGAATTGACCCTTGGGTACACATGGCCTTAATGGTCATTTTCAGGACCCCTACAGGTAAAAATAAGTTTACCTAGTTCTGAACTACTAGCCAGATAAAGATCAACAGGCTAGCAGCACCCTCCGCCACAAGAGTCTCTTTCAATAAATAACATAATTTATTGCCATCACGTTTCGAGTCTTAGAACCACAGCTCATTACATTTCGAGTCTTAGGCCAGCAGCCCATCACGTTTCAAATCTTAGACCTGCAGCCCATCACGTTTCTAGTCTTAGGCCCGCAACCCATCACGTTTCGGGTCTTAGAGCCACAGCTCATCACGTTTCTAGTCTTAGGCCAGCAGCCCATCACTTTTCAAATCTTAGACCAGCAGCCCATCACGTTTCTAGTCTTAGTCCCGCTGCCCATCACGTTTCAAATCTTAGACCTGCAGCCCATCACTTTTCAAATCTTAGACCAGCAGCCCATCACTTTTCAAATCTTAGACCAGCAGCCCATCACTTTTCAAATCTTAGACCTGCAGCCCATCACGTTTCTAGTCTTATTCTCGCAGTTCATCACGTTAACCACTAGACCAGATGCATATCTCATTTGTTTTCAGCTTTCACTACAGTATCCAGTTTGTAGATTCAACTAAATCTTAATACATTTTTCGTTTATGAGACTTTCCATAAAGGGATTGATGTAATTAAGAACTAACAATGACCCAGACCAGGTGAAAGTTAAGGTTTTCTATTACTACTGTAAAAAGATGTAGTTTCAATAATTATTGGGCCTGGCATGGCCAAGTGGCGAGTTCGAATCCCTATTCCACCAAACAGGCTCGCCATTTCAGTCGTGGGGGCGTTATAATATGACGGTCAATCCCACTATTCGTTGGTAAAAGAGTTGGCGGTGTGTGGTGATAACTTCCCTCTACTTTTTCAATGCTAAATTATGGACGGCTTATCTGTGAAGTATTGTATCTCTATTCTATAAATAAAAATATTTGACATTTATTTTAATTTTAGTTCAAAAAATGACAACAAATAAAATGAAACAAATATTTCTTTTTTTTTTCAACATGGCAAAACGTATTCTATGTAGCACGCCAATTTATTAGTGCGGAACAAAACAATAAATGGAAGAGTAGCATTCTCCGATATGCACTTAACCTCATCATCAGCTTCAGAATACGGTGACTACATATAGTTCTTGATTTTGAGAAACCTGATGGAGATATTATAATAACCTAGCTAATCACATACAGTTAAAATCTAGATTCGTAGAGATAATTTTCATTCATACGTTAAAACAGCATATTTATTCATGTTAATTTAACTTTATGCACAAAAAAACAACACTAATT